GTGTGTCACTGTAAATATGTTACATACATATGAACATTATATATATATATATATATATATATATATATATACATATACATGCTGACATATATATATATATAATTACATACCTATATATATAGATATATTTTTTACATACCTATATATATATATATATATATATATATATATATTTTTTTTATACCTATATATATATATATAATTATACCTATATATATATATAGATATATATTTTTACATACCTATATCTATATATATTTTTTTACATACCTATATATATATTTTTTTTACATACCTATATATATATATATATATATATATATATATATTTTTATATACCTATATATATATATATATATATATATATTTTTACATACCTATATATATTTTTTTTCATACCTATATATATATTTTTTTTTTTTACATACGTATATCTTATAACTATTTTTTTTTTAAATAATTATAATTTAATCTCTACTTCTGTATGAGGCACTGTTTTTTTAAAAATTAAAAACAAAATACTAAAGACCTCTGGATTATTTACCTAACGTGTTCTTTCCTATTTTTCTACATATCTGCACACACACACACACACACATATATATATATATATATATATAAAGATATAGATACAAACTGCAACAAATAAATTGTCGCCTAAATTACACAAAAATGAAAATAACACTGACATCTTATTTTAATATATGTATTTACTAGAATTACATAAAAATATCTTGACCTACTAAAGAGTAAATTATTCCATAAAATAGCCACTGGCTTAAATCACAACCTTCAGAAGACTTTGGTATCTCTTGCAACTCTTCTGAATAGTTTCCTCATTTAAGTTAGTGAATGGTAGCACATTCGTTACTCTCAGTTCATCTTTGGTGTTACAAGGAGTTTTGTTGATCTCTTGCTAAACTGCACCCCACACATAATAATCAAAGGCTTGCAATCTGGAAAATTCTATGACCAGATGTAAAGTGTGATGTGGTTGCAGAAATTATCCGACATCCATGACTGGGTTTTCCTGCTTGTGTGGCATGGGACAGAGTCCTGTTGCCAGACAGAGGGTCTTTAAGCAGCCACCCTCTTGACTTAGGGAAGCGCTACTGCCTCAAGGCACTTGGTGTAGGCCTCTGTGTTGAGTCTGAGTCCCTGTGGGAGGATGAATGGAGACATAACATCGCCATCACTACTGATCACTCCAAACATCTTAATTACCATTAGACTCATCCAACTCTTTTTGAATCCTCTGCACTGTCCTCAGATTGACACCCAAACACTGAAATTTTCATATTGGAGCTTCTGGTGTAAATGCCAAGCAGTAAATCATGGCATTTCCAAATTTCTGATAGAGTGAATTGCGTCAGGGTGCTCTTTTTCTCACAGACAGTGCCCATCTAACCCTAGTATACTGTGCAGTCAACAAAATCAAAAACAACGCTCATGTGCAAAATTAAAAATATATAATGGTGACATTTTACCCAAGGCACCCTGTACGTAAAAAAAATCCAACACTCAATAGCATCAGCTATGAACATGACAACAATGTGCTGACCATGTTTGGAAAATAAAGCATTCCTCTAGATACATACATAAAACATCAATACATTCAATTAAAAGTAAAATTAAAATCATCCTTGATAATGGCTAAAATAAGTATAACTGAAAGTACTCGAACATACAGAACATTCGACAATTTCTACATAATTTATGTCCAGAAAAGATGAAAATTGTTAGAACAAGAAAGATTAAATAAAAACTTAACTGCAGTAACTTTAGTCATTTGTAATGAAACTTACATACATACACACATATATATATATATATATATATATAATATACATAGATGCATGTTTCATTAAATAATATGACAAGTTGTGTCTATTTATTTTAAGTAAGTTCTTTTCATATTGTCTGATAAACAATAACATTATCATTGAAAGACGAAATCACCATATTGATACGTTTCCTTTCGTCTTTCAATGATAACCATTAACTTATCAGACAATATGAAAAAGAACTTAAACAGAAAAAACTTGTCTATATTATTTAATGAAACATGCATCAATCCCTGCCTAAATATGCACAATATATTATTTATATATTATATATGTGTGGTACTTATTGGAAAGTGATCAATATCAGTAATAGAGCTAAGATATCTAAGGGGTTGTCAGATGAATTTGTTCATTTTTTTCCATTCATTTTACTCCTGTTATTCATCAGCATTTTTAACAGTCATTAATATAAAATGATAAACAAAAATTGACAAAGAAGAAAAGGGTTATAAGACACAATGGTAAGTAATAAGTATGTGGAGATTCTGTTACTGATGTTAAGTTTATAAGTGCAGTACTTCATTGGCAGCAAGGTCTCATCATTTTACAGTACAAATGGCTTGATGTTCTATGCTTACAGTTTTTTTCTCTTTCACTCGTTGCTTGTAGACCTCTCTTCAAGTTTCTTGCTTTTCAGTCAAGTTTGATTTTCAAAATTTTAAATACAATGTCAATCATTATCTTCTGTTTTTTTTTTAATTCCTGTTCTTTTATTGTTCTCTCTCCTTAATAATGTTTACTTTTTCTCCTGTTCTCAGTCAGTAAGCCTTAGCATCTTAGTGGCATGATCATTTTGCTTGTGGTGAAGTGATTTAAAAAAAAAAAAAATAAGTGCATTGATAAATCCAATGCCTTATGATGAAAAAAATTTATCTTACATCAAAAATATTACTTCTGTCCTATAATAGTTGATACATTTTCATACCCCAAAGAAAAGAACTATAGAACAGTGATTGTATTTTATATTTCATTATAATCTCCTTCCTTATCAATGAACTTAATTCAGTGGTGAATGTTAACCACACAGCTGAAATATTATATTGTGAAAATCTCTTATCAAAATTTGGCTAATAATTACATAGAAAAGGTGCAATTAATATGATTGAAATAGTATGTTGTTATATAAATTTATCCATTTTTTGGCCGGTGGGGGATAATTTATTTTATTCCTATTATTCTTCAGTAATTTTAACAAATTACTCATTAATATAAAATGATAAACAAAAGTCGTAGTGGAAGAATAGAGTTAAATGAAATCATAAAACAACGGTAAAAATATTTTATGTTCTAATTCAAGTAAGATTGGAAAAAAACGTACGATTTTATCTGACAGCCCAAAATAAACATTTATCAGTAACCAAAGAAGATTGAAGATTCTCATAGCAGGAACTCAGCACTTTTTGATCTCGTCCTTTTATTTCCTGGCCGCAAGTGATGAGTACCGGTTCGTAGGAATCGATAAATGCAGCTGATTACTTTGTCTATCTTCCAAATTTGTTCAATTATATCCAAATGCATATAATTACAATGATTGATTAGTCTTTCTCTCCAACAAAATCATTTTCTAAGGTGTATAACTTTATTATTAATATATTCATTATTATAATTATAATAATGTGACCTGTTCCTAATGTTTTTTTATTGTTGTCTTGGAAAGTTCTGAGATGACATACACACAGACACACATGGTGGTTGGCCACTCATACTTGCCTGTCTACTAAGGTGGCTAACCAATCCTTGTTGTAGACACCTGCTCAGAAATATTTGTGTTTGCTCAAAGGAAGCCCACCTCTGGTTTATATTGCAACTATACTGAGTGGACCGTAGTTAGTTTCTAGGAAAGAGCACATTATCTGGCATCATCAACAGTCTGACCAAGGCCAGTACACTCAAACCCTCAGTCATGATGACTTGCGACTTTGTGCTAGGAGAACCATCGATGGCTCCCAAATAGTTCTGTCTATCCAATTTCACTCACAAGGATGATGTCAACACAGGGTATAGTAGTCAGGCACTTTCCAAAGATGCCGCACAGCTGGGATCGCTTTCCTGAAATATTGACTATGATGAGATTTGAACCTGGGTCTTATGGTCAGAAAAGAAATGTTCTAACTACTCAGCCATATGCCTACAATGCATATGTAGAATAGAAGAACAGCATTACAGTCTTTCTTTCAAATACAGTCTTTCTTTTTTTCATATATGGATTGGAAATAAAAAAAAAACAAACAAAAGGCCTTTAAGAAAGACTCAAACACACAAAAAGAAGCCAGCCTTCATATGCAGCAGTTCTATTGATTAAGATAATAGGATTTTTTATTGTCATCAGTCTTTCAACAGTTTCAATCTGTTGGGGGTGGGGGCCTACAGGTAGAAGAAACAGGTAAACCTCCTCCAGGCCAATCAATCAATTTGGCATGGTGTTGCTTTGATTCTTCACTTTCATGATCCTTTCAGTCATATTTCAGATAGCTTGGTGGCATACATCTTCTCTCGAAGCACTTGATCAGCAGCCAAAGACCAAAGAATATAGTGTGGGCTGCTTTCAGTTTGTACCCTAAACAAGACCTGTAGGTTTTGAATTCAAAAGTGTTCTTCTTGTAAACCAGCTGATACCCAAGGCTATAGAACTCATTCTGTCCTGCTATTTACCCATAGCTGGCGAGAGAAGAGGCAGATTGATGCCTTTCAAAGAATATTTGCATGTAAATGAATGTAACGAATTTTTCTGGAAGTCAAACTCAGTTTTCTGGTTCCTTAATCCAAACTGCTATCCATTACTCTGCTGTGCCTCTAATGAGCACCAAATCTAATCTGAAAACCAAATTTTTTATCTGATCAGTCAGTGTCATATTTCTTCTTGTTTTTCTATACACTAATAGATATTTAGTCAAACATTCACTTCATGCGGTAAAACCTGATTAATGCAAGGGTCCAAGTGCAAATGTAGAGTCTAAAACAACTGTATACCCCACAGCACTTCAGATACTGATGATTAACCCCAGGCCCTTTCCAAAGTAGAAGCAAGGCCTGCTGAGTCAAGACTCTTGAGGCTGGATTTAAAAGTTACTTTCTTGCCTCTAATTGGAGCAAGAAGTGTAAGTATTTCTTTCATCTTGACCACTGAAACTGTCAGTTGGTGTTAAGGAGTCCACACTACAAATCAGGAAGAAAAGGGAGGAAATATGCGTTAGCAATTAATACTGAAAATGTTTTATCTTAGAATAAAATCAAACTAATATTACTACTACTAATACAACTAGTATTTTTTCTTTTGCTGGTTCAAAATTATTAGAAGGTTATTGGGTACAGACAACTAAAGAAGGCTAGAAGGTGCAATGGTCAAAAGATTGTCAGTATAATAACCAAGATGAACATGTTCGTCCGAAGAATAAGGCATATAATAACAGACACAAGAAAAATGTTGGAGAGTGCAAATAAACCGTAAAACATAGAAAAAAGAAATTGACTAATCCTTTTATGTCAGGATTTATAAGATGAAGAATCACCATTATTATATGTCTTTCCTTTTGAGCTAGCATCTTACCAATATTTTGGTCATTGTACCGTTTCATTTCAAAATTCTGAGAAGATTACTGTGTATAACAACAGACACCTGACAAAGACCAAAGAGTACAATAGCCAAAACTTTGTGATTGTAATAAAATGAGCATGCTGCTCTGAATAGTAAGTTGAACAATAATAATAATTTCTTATTTAAAAAAACGTTTGACATGAAATAGAGTAGTTTTTAACCCACACTGCATTATTTACAGGTATTATTTCTCCTACCAGATTCTTTTATAATGCACTACAAATGCTTCTCTGTTGATTTCAGTCAAGCTTATTTCCTGTTATCATAGTAGGATATGATAACACAACCATGAAATTCAAATACACTACAATTCAACAATTGGAATTACCAGCTGTTACAGAACAAACATTTTAATGAACAAAGTCACCTACTAAAGCTTAAATTCTATGTCATATGACATCTTTGCCAAAAAAGGTGTCCATTGCAAAGGGATTTTTGCTACATTCTAAATGAACACAAGGCAAAAACTTTTTTAAAAGACTATTTACAAGGTGAGGTCAGTGAAAACCTATCCAAAACAAGATATGAGTCCGTATCCTCTTGCTCAAGCTCTAGGTTAAATAGCATGGCTGAATGGGATCTCTTGCCTTGAGGTGACAGTCTAGGAGGAGGAGAAGGAGGAAAACAATTCAAAACCTGCATGAAGAGGGATGGGTGCCATAAGACTATCTTGTTCTAGACACACCACTGCTGCTATGGCTGCAGTATAGTTATTTTCCAAGCGTAGCTTAGATGTAGCACAAGGCCGAATGTATGGGGTACCCAGTGAGGATTGAACTCACGACTAAGTTGTAATTGTTCTAGCAAGACAAGCTTGCTAACCATTACACCACCTCCAGATGCCTATTACAGCTGCAGTATATGTAAAACCTCTATGACCCTAATAGGTCTCATGATGCGTTATAATACACTTTCCTTTCCACGGCATTCTTTTTCAAGGTCTTGGAACAGCATTAGCTTCATTGTTAATTTCAGCCAAGATTGTTTTCTGCTGTCATAGCAGGACATGAAATTCAAACACACTAACATTTGAGAATTGGAGTCACCTGAAGTTGACATGAAGTGGGAAAATCATATTGAATCAATTGCTAGGTCTGCTAGGTTTGGTGTTGTGCTAGACAATTTTTCTTGACAGAATCTATCTTACAAATTTATAAGTCTACCATTCATCCATTGAATTTTGTTGTCACATTTGGTTTGGTGCTTCAGCTGTGTATTTATAAATTCTTGATAAAATCCAAAGAAGAATCTGCAATATTATTAATCCTGACCTGGCATTTTCAGTCACTTTCCTACCACTGTAACATAGCTTCCCTGTGCCTTTTCTATCATAGTAATTATTCCGACAATCTTTCCTCCTTGGATACTTCAACTTTAAGAATTTAAGCACAGCACTAGATTAGCAACTAGGTCTCATCATTTTACAGTTGAAATGGCTAGATGTACATAAGTTTTATGCTAACAGTTTCTTCTCTCGCACTTCTTGCTTGTGGAGTTCTTTTCTAGCCTCTTGCTCTCAAATAAACTTTCATCTTAAAAAATGTAATTGCAATGTCAATGGTTATCTTCTGTCTTCTTAATTCCTGTTCTTTTATTGTTCTCCCTCCTTAATAATGCTTTTGTTTTTCTCATTCTGTCACACTCAGTAACTATTTGTGTTTTAGTGGATTTATTGCATTGCTTGGAGTGAAATGATTAGAAAAATTAGTTGGGTTAACTTTTTGCTTATAGAATAAAGTCCTTGAGTGAATGCTAAAGGTTAAAAACAATGTGAAAAACTGCAGGAAGATGTGTGGATTATAAACAGTCCTCCAATCTGATCATCAAACAGAAAGTAAATTACACAAAAGTGCCAAACCACAGTTCAAAGAATAGTTACACTAATGAAAAGAGGGATCACTTGGAGCACATAGCAAACTGCCCAACTAAATAAATTGCTTATTTTCACTTAACATTAATGAAACTGTCAGTAATTTGATTAAAACCACATCATTATCAGATTCATACTCTATCTGATAAAGCTTGAAAGACAAATTCCAAGAATTGTTAGGATGACTGAATTCATTCATTCATTATTTTACTATTATTGCTACCACAACATCTTTTTGGTGAGCAAGGTCGAATTACTAACCAGTTGCTTCTTCTGTAGCTAAATAGTATAGCACATCAGGCTATATGATGGCTCCGTGTAGGATACAAGTTTGATTCCTGTCGGAGGACATATATTTTCTATGAAATTTCTCTGACATTCAGGCTGGTAAATGTTGTTAATACTGTTTATTATAAACAGAACATTTACTTGAATATTTGTATCTGTAAAAATAATATATAAACAATACTATATGACGTCATTTTTTTTACATTAAGATACGCTTCGAGCAGATATGAGAGTTTGAGAAAAATCATGGGAAATTTGAAGTTTAAAAGCAGTATTCAACATTGCTAACCAGATACTTCCTCTGTAGTGAAATGGTATAGCACATAGGGCTATATGACGGTTCTGTGTAGGATACAGGTTCGATTCCTGTTAGAGTATACATATTTTCTATGAAATTTCTCTGACATTCAGAACAGTAAATGTTGTTAATACTGTTTATTATAAACAGAGCATTTACTTAAATATATGTATCTATAAAAATAATGTATAAAAAATAAATATGTCAAAATAATTGTCAGATTTAGTACATTCCATAATATATATATAAACATAATTATAATATATTGCATATATAGTGCTTGATGTAATACAACAGAGCTATTAAGTATATATTCATAAATATTATATATAATTTTTTCATATAAACAAAATCAATTTACTCACTACAAAGATGCAACCTTGTTTTGGTGCATTTAGTTGCACCTCAACTGGTGAAAACCAAAATGGTTATGAGCTCATGGAATGTCACTTTGAGCACTGTTGCTTACTATATATGCTCCACATACAGGATTTCAAATGCTGAGATTCAATGACAAGCAAGCCCTTTTTAGTCAGAAGATTGCTGCAAGACAATATTTCCAACCGTTCTCTGGCCTTGTACCAGGTACTAAACTAAGCTTGGTAAATATACAAAAGTGTTCTTTTTTTTTTTTTTTTTAAGGAATAAACAGGATAGGGAAGAGCTTATTACAGTTTATTTTTTACATATCACAGCTGCTACATTCAAAATAGACATCAAATTTCATGCTTAGGCCACCACTCAGGAATCTGAGTCTTCAGTTTATAATCTCTAATATTCATTCCACTTTTATTAGCTTTAAGGGCCTGACCAACCCTTAACAGGGCAAGGCCATATAGGCCCTCGTAATTCCGAAATTTTCCTAAGTTTTTACCTTCAGTGTCAGTTATTATTTCACCACTATTCAGTCCTTCAGGTATACTGGAAAAAAAAAACAGAAGAAAAACATTAGCATATATCAAAGCTTTACCTACATTATACGACAAGAAAAACAAAACAGAGCCCAGTTAAACTCTGTTCTTATACAGTGATCAGACTAATCCAAATACACAACATGAAGAATGTAAAAAAGAAAATCACTTTCCAGGTTTAAGAAAACATGATAATTGTCATTTCAAGCTGGGGATAAACAAATTTTCAATAAACAAGGATGGCAAAATTTGAATTCCATAAAATATGTCACTTGCAGCTTAATAAACATCCACAGACAGACTGTTTCACAGCTCATCAGTGTGGCTAGACATCCGGTTGCCTCTAGCTCGGATCGAAACCCGACTGAATTGGTGTCAGTCGGAGATTCTAACCATTAAGCCGCCGGCGCACGGTAGGGATGAAAGTGAATTTTTTAGCGTATTTATTTTTAGAAACACGCCCAGTGACCGACAGTGACTCAATTCGCATCTGCGAAGAGTCTTGCTATATAACTATAATAGTCACTGTTTACCAACCCACACCTAAGTATAGGATTGGTGTATACAGAATAAATTCCAATAGCCAACAATTACTATTCTTAAAAGAGTGCTCAATACAGAGTAGAGCAAATATATTTATTTGAAAATTATAACATAAACATGTTATAAAATCACTACAAACATAGCCATTTTGTTTCTACACTTCTGGTGTCTTATCAAGTGATGGTGTTGAATGTAGAATAAAGGGTTTTTAAAAGGTATAAATCAATCAAACATCCATCGCAAGAGGATACGCTGTTACATAAGCTGGAATGACTCATGAAAATACAAGTATATGAGAATTCAAAAAACTTGACAACAGACTTTTAGGTTATAATAATTGGGGTTAGACTAAAGTAGAATTTATTCTAACTAATAAATATTAAATTATACTATAAAATTTAAAATTCACAGGTAGCCTGAATCAGAGATTCATGCACAATGCAATCTTCAGGTGCTGGGTAGAGACTAACCTTTACATAATTTAAAATTTAAATTATATAAAAGTCAGTCTCTACCCAGCACCTGAAAATTGCATTGTGCATTAAACTATGTGTTGTGCTACAGGTGAGGGATAATATGTATATTTATTAATATATACTTAATAGCACTATTACATTACATTGAACACTGTTTTATTAACACCAGTATTCTATGTGCCATATACTTACTCTCTCTCTCTCTATATATATATGTAAAGATGTGTGTGTGTGTGTGTGTGTGTGTATATATATATATATATATATATATTATGTATGTAAATATAAAAGTGGACATTGAAGTCAACACTCAGAGGCGACAGTCTGTTTCATGCTAAACACAATTGTCAGGCCATATCTGTTGTGTTTTTGCTCGGCTATTTATACATACAGGTCAGTGATGCCTTGTGGGTAGTGCAGTGTATTATTCTAATGGTTAATTTGGTAGGCAGTAACAGTTATGCTTCAAATTATTCTAGAGACCACTGAGTGGAAATAATTATAAGTCCAGGTGTTGTTTGCAAACATTTTTTTAAATTTATTTTGATTATTTTATTGTTGATTATTATTTATATTGTTTGGACTATTGTCCTCATCTTTGTTGTTATATTTATGACATTTCTGTCCTGACACATGACCTAGTGGATAATCATTGGTTTGATCCACTGACTTGATCCAAAGAGTTGCGAGTTCGATACCTGGCTACTGCAGTGGTGAACAAAAACTTAGAGAGTTGATTTATAGGGAGATAACTGATATTGAGACATTCGGAAAAGCCATAGCACATGGAACTAGAACAATCTACCCCAGTGGACAAAATAAAAGGTTCAGTTCAAAATTCCAATCACCTGAAGAAAGCTGGAGGATACAATGGCCGAAATGTCATGAATATGGCAATAAAGATGAGGACAACAGTCTAAACAATGTAAATAGTTTAAATATTTACAATACCTAATCTCAGAAATATAGACAGTTATTGGTTGTTATTACTACATTTATTTCTGTTTATGTGTGCATTTGTAGTCTGTTTATTATTTACTTAGTTTATTTACTTATTTATTTGTTTGGATTAATTTATTTTATTTTTTTTTTTTATTCTTGTTCATTTTCAGTTTTCAGTAACATAGTAAAAATTTGTTTTTGTGTCTGCATTTTGAGATGAGATCTGATCATCTATTTAGTAGTTTGCATTGACCTGGGAAGGTAATTATAGCTATTTTCTCCTCCAGACAGAGTTTGCAGTTTGGGGATTTATTGTTGGAAGCTGATACTGTTTTTCTTATTTTCTATGATATTTTTGGTGTGATTTGATTTTGATTTTAATCTCCCAGATATGTTTAAAAAGCATTGAGCTCTCTGCATATTTGTAAAGGATCTTTTGTGTGTGTAGTGGTTTTATTTTCAGGGTCCTTCAGTTACTCCTATGTATATTTTTTCATTGCTATCTGATGATTTTACAGTGGCTCGGTATATTACATTACTAGCAGTAGAGCCCGGGGATGTAACAGTAAGAGATAGATCAAGTATCGACCATCATAAAGACTGAAAAATAAAATTGACAAAGATTATTGTTTAAAGTTGACGGACACGCATGTCTTAATTAGTTTTTTTTTTTTTTTTTACGAATTGGTCAAACCCAAACTCAAACATTGTTTTCAATCGTTATGAGTCTACCGATTGAATAAAATTTTATTATAAACAATTGTCTTGTAAATAGAATTTTTAAAGCATTCTGAATGTAAAAATAAAAAAAAAAAAAAAAGACAATAAAAACACTACCTGCCAAAAAAAAGTGAAGTTTTGTTGAAATCGGTTGAAAAATGTAGGAAATCCGATCCCATATATAAAGGAACACACACACAAACAACCTGGGTTTTATAATAAGTATAACTCGATATGAGTTGTCCCCCTTTCATTCTGGCAACAGAATCGTGTTTTCAAATTGATTTTGTGCAAAAACAATTGTGTTTTTCCAATTTTTGGCGCTGTCAGAACCACCGCAAGGTAATTTTATGCAGTGAAGTTTTGTTGAAATCGGTTGAAAAATGTAGGAAATCTGATCCAATATATAATCTTACAGACACACACACACGCACACAATCTGTGTTTTATAATAAGTAACATTCTGCAAGCAATAGCCGTTTAAGGTACATTCATTCTTTGTTCTGCAGTTAAACGTGAGTTTCATTTGTTCATGTGGGTTGTTGGTTGTTTTTCTGTTGTTTTTTTATTATTTGTGTCATTCTTGGTGTAACTGTAGCTGATTTTTACTGTGTTTTTGTTGAATATCTTGTGGAAAGTGCTTGATGCAGGGAAGTGATTGTGTAGGAGTTTAATGTTTGTTTTTACATTTTTGTCATATGGTGGGTTGAATCATATGATGTTTCTTTTCCTGTTGGCTTTTTGTGCTGTGTGGTATGTATATGAGTGTTGTTGGAAGTCCACTATCTTTTAGGGTTGTCTTATAGTCCTTGGATGAATTGTCAGAAAGGTTGTGGTATCTGCTTGATTATCAATGGCAGGTGGTTGGAAGATGTCTGTATGTACAGTGGTTTGTCATTGGGTTTTCTGAATGGTTTATATATACTTTTTCTTAGGTTGAAGGTGACATCTAGAAAATCTACTTCTTTTAATTTAGTTTTTATGTCTCTGTTGAATGTGATATTTTGAAAACTTTTATGATAGTTTTTCTGATTTTGACTGTGTTTTATTTCTTATGGTTATGGGACCATCATCCATGTAGAGGGCTAGATCATTTTTATCAGTTATTTTACCTAGTTCATGTAGCAAATGTACACCTATGAGTTCACACGTCTCTGAACTGTCAAAGCTTTCTATTGTAATGTCAAAGTCCCTTCTTTCTTGATTCATATGTCTTCATTCTTGAATAATTTTTGGGAGATTTTAATGATTTTTATTTAGTTTGTGGGTAACAGAGAATTCTGAACTGAACCCTTTATTTAATCTATGAAGGTAAACTGTTCTTGTTCCATCGCCTATGTCTTGGGATATTGTCTAGTTCTTTTTTCAGTACTGATCTGTTATTGCTTGCCTCTTTCCCCTGAGTCCAAGTACACATGACCCAGCCCAGAGATTGAATTGACAATCACTATGACACCAAATTCACACTTTAATTCAGTCTATAGGGAAACTGGAGCCTTAAACCTAACCTGCATGTCTCATTGTCTCATCCTTCAACATGGCTCTTCGATGTTCCTCTAGCATTACTTTTCGGCGGGGTGGCTTGTTTCACCTTTATATTTTTTTTTGTGACAAATACAAAGAATTAAGTACATGCAATTTTTGGTCATGTTCTCCCAACATGCCCAATAATTTTATTCTTAAAGATGTGATTGGGAGAAATATGATATATTAAATCTATTTATTTAACTCATGGTGAGTAACTGAATGATGAAATGAAAAAAAAGTGATGTGAAGTGTTTCATCCTTCAAAAGGACTTTAGCAGACTAAAATCATGTTCTTATTGATAAAACTATATATATGCAGGGTGAAGGGGTTGAAAGTATAAACAATAATGTATAATTACAATGTGCGATGGGTAAACTGTCACCATTTTATATTTCTAATTTTGCGCATCAGCGTTGTTTTAGATTTGTCGACTGCACAGTACAGTCAGCATCATGACACAATTCACTCTGCTAGAAACTTGGAAATGGCATGCTGTAATGCTTAGTATTCATGCCAGAAGCTCGAATACAAACATTTCAGAGTGTTTGGGTGTCAGTCTCAGGGCAGTGCGGATGATTTGGAAAAAGTTGGAGGAGTCTAATGATGGTTACAAAGGTATGGCAGCTTGGAAAATTCACTCTGATTGTTTTGATATGGAAAGAACACCTGCAGGCCTACATTAAGTGCCTTGAGGAGGTAAAAAGCCAACAGGAAAAGAAACATCATATGATTCAACCCACCGTATGACAAAAATGTAAAAACAAACAAACTCCTACACAATCACTTCCCTGCATCAAACAC